GGGAGAGAGCGAGAGATGGAGGGAGAGAGGGAGAGAGAGAGAGAGGTGCGAGGCTACCGTGGAGTCAGAAAAATTTACTCTGATGATGCCTCTGGCTTTAGCAAAGTTAGGTTCCAGTAAGATGTTTGCAAACCCAAACAAACTCCACTCTGCAGGTCTGACCTCTGGGCAGGAGGATAGGTTTCCCTGGGTGTTGCAACTCCCTCTCCCTGTAATTAAGGCAAAATCGGCTGTATGACAATTAAGCCGGATTTTGTCTTATCCTAAATTGTCCACAATACCATAAAAAAATTAAAAACAAATATTCCTGTGTCTTAATCATTAGAAACTAATCCAACTAAGGGGGCATGGTATCAGGATTTAAAAAATTGTTGTAGGGTATTCATAATTTATTATCCTGATACATGTGAAAGGTGCTGCACCTAGGCCAAGTTTCAGCATCTCAGCCTAAATAGAGACGGGAAAAAAAAAGACGAATTTTTCAACCATGTTCAGTTGATTTCACAGCCCACAATTGTGAACCAAAATCATTTATACGACACTCAGCTATGACCTTACTATATAATAAAGATTTGCATGTCACATCATTATCCCAGATGTATTTAGTGCAATAATACAGATTTTATAAAAGTTTCCCAAAAACGTATGCAACAAAATGAAGTGTATCATTATTTATAAAATCAATAAATCTACGTAGATAAGAATAATGACATGCGTTTATAGAGGCGTAAACTCTACATATAATGTGCAAGTTTCATGTAAATTGAATAATAAATAAAGGCTGTGAAACGAGATCTAGTTGTAAAAGTTGGAGTTGCGTAGCGCACTCGACAAGTTTACTCAACCAGCGGTCACGTGACTGGTGATTTATGCATTGCGGCCAGCTCGTATGGAGAGCTCGCATGCATCTAGCTGTCAATGTTTTTCTCTTGTTCGTTTGGTAAGTCATATTGCAGTACAAATAGCTAAAAATAGCAAAAATAACATGTTCTGAGAGATATTGTGTGAGCGCGTCAGCATACATCCTCTCTCCATGAGAGACACGCAGTCACTGACTGCACCACCCTCGTGTCAGACAATAGTGTTGCCATATCTGTTAGTTTATATTCATTTTATGCATAACATGTTATTTTCAACGCTATTACGAAAAATAAGACATCTACAACGTAAGATACAATACCCCGCGGCGTACTCACGGCGCGAGGACCAGATTCACGAAAGTTGCAGCGGGAAATTTGACTCTAATTACGTTATTTTTCAAGATATCATTAAACGGTTTGGACCACAGTGTTGCCAGAACGTTGTAGTATTTTTCGTAAATATTCCATTTTTCATCGGATTTTCGGTTACCATGCCCCCTAAATCAGTACAAACAAAAGTACATCATACAGGTTCATTTAAAAAAGAACCGTATACAAAAGTACATTAAAAAAGAACTGATTACAAAAATGAAAAGAAATGACACAATCATAAATGTTCCTACATTGTTCCTACAATGTTCCTACATTGCCATCATTGTAACCCGTGCTGCTATTGAAACACGATTTATTGTAACACAAGCTATTGTATCACGAGTTGATACCACTGTACTATAGTAGGTTTACACCCAGATGCTCTTAAGTATATTACCTTAAAGTCTAACCAATATTAACAGTTGAGGGTAACCTTATTACTAATGCTGTCACCATCCTGTTTTAAGGAGATCTTAAAACATATACAGCAATATAACAGGAAACACAGCTTTACTGAGAAGTTTCTTCTTTCGATGTAATGATGCCAGTCTCAAGTAGTTCGCTCATGTATTTGAGTTGTTCATAGTAACACTGGTTCTATATTCCTGGTATAATGTAATGTACCTATTCTGTAAGTAAGGAAGAAAGGAACGGGTATGGATAGTTCATATCCTTGGGGATGCCTTAGAAGCTCGTGCCCTTAAAACAAATTTACTCATTCATTAGCAACTTTATTGCTGCTGCTGGTAACATCAACTGGGAGACTGAATTCTGTAATACAGTAAAATCAACCTAGTTAATTCCTTGTGTCAGGGGACAGCCAGCCAGTTTATACTTATTAACTGAGCTTACTTTTATGAACTAACTGAACAATACGGGTGCTCACTTTGGACTCAACTTGCAATTCAAGCAATTGCAGCAAAATGCAATTAATTAATGTAAACACAGCAAGGCGGGTCAATGAGACAATCTCTGGTAACCCTCCAACACACAGTCTAAAAGCTAGATGGTAATCTCTTCTTTCACACTGATGTTAATGAAGTTTTTAAACAGTCACAAAAAATAGCCTGATGTTGAACAAGGACAAAATCCATTTACTGTGCTATGAAAAAAAAAAACGAAAACATCAAAGCAGAAACCACATATAAAACACAGGCAAACTATACTATTAAAAGAAAAAGCAATATAAAAGATTTAGGAGTAATTATGTCAGAAGACCTTACTATTATAGAACACAATACATTTGCCGTAACCACTGCCAGAAAAATGACAGGTTGGATAACAAGAACATTCCAAACAAGAGATGCCACTCTATTGATGATACTTTTTAAGATATTAGTGCTCCCTAGAGTGGAATATTGTTGCACACTAATAGCGCATTTAAAGATGGAAAAACTGATAACCAGGAGAGCGTGCAAAGATCTTTTACCACTAGAATCCACTCAATAAAACATCTAAATAATTGGAGCCATTTAAAAATATTGTATCTGTATCCCCCATAGTGCAGATGGGAGAGATACATAATAATTTACTCTTGGAAAATAGTAGAGGGACTGTTTTAAAATCTGCACACAGAAATAAGATCACATGAGACCAGAAGGCATGGCAGGATGTGCAAAATAACCCCATTGAAGAGCAGAGGTGCAATAGACATGCTGAAAGAGAACTCGACCAACATCTAAGGCCCAAGACTGTTCAACACTTTTCCCCCACACACACAGGGCATTGATTATACAGGGCATTCTAATGCTGCTGATGTCTACTCTATTTCCTGTTCGTCTTGTCCTCTCCAATACTTTGGCGAAACTGGCCGTACACTGAATGACAGACTTAAAGGACACAAGAGAAGTGTTAGGTCTACAGACACTAACAATGCTCTCTTCTGTCATGTGGGGGATTCTAATCATCCCATTGATTGGTCTTCCTCCAAAATAATCTTTCCTGCCTCTACACTACACAGACGCCGTCTTGTTGAATCGGCTCTAATACACAATGTACCCAACATGAACTTGAGTCCTGGCTTTGTTGCTGTGAACTCTTCCCTTTTTACAGTATATACTTAAATGCTCTAATCTTTCTAACAAACGTGACCTAACATAAGCTTGCCCTTCCATTTATCTTTCTTTCTTTCTCTTTCCTTTTCTTTCTCTCTTCTCTCTTTTTTCTGTTCTTTGTCTTCTACGTTCCCTTGCTATCCTCTTCTTATTCCTATTACTATCTCCTTCTCATTCGGTGGTTTATAGGAGCTGCCTCGCATGGGCAAATAGTCCGTCTGCAGTTCGTTTTCCTACTACTTTTCCCCTCTACTACACCTTTGCTCCTCACCCCTCTCTTGCCTATTTATTGCCTGTCTCTACTTCCTCATCACAATCGACTTGAGAATGGTCCAGGACGGACCGAAACGTCGTCGTCCTTTCACCTTCTATTGTGTGGTCTGGTCAACTTACTTTAGCCATGTTATTGGGACTCATCGCCTGCATACAGGGCATAACTGGCCGACCTCTTGCAGTGTTCAAAAGAGAATTCGACAAGCATCTTTCAATCAACCAGGCTGTAACTCATACGTCATGCTGCAAGCAGCCACATTAAACAGCCTGGTGGATCAGACCAGCAACCAGGAGGCCTGGTCAGAGATAGGGTCGTAGGGACATTGTTCCCCAGAATCTTCAACAGGTAGATAAGTAGTCCCAATTGGTTGTCAAGATGTTTGACGCATGAGGCAAACTGACGCTGCCCAACCAATAGGCATTGGCATCGCTCCATTACTATGCACTTATAAATTACGTATTAATTTGTTAATTAAACTTGAATAGAGATTATCTATGTTCAATAAATAAATAAATATTTATTTTAATGTTTTGTTATTCGAAGTTATGTTCATAAAGAATTTCCAACAAATGAGGATAGAGCCAATATATATAAAACTCTGAACTGTAATGTTAAACCTGACCTTAAACGCTACCTAGAGTGTTGTAACAGAACCCATGGGCACCACACTAGAAACATATATCTATTTGATATTCCAAGAGTGCAACTTAATCAAACTAAAATGTAAATAAAAATGTAATTATCGTCTTTCTTTCCAATACTTCAGTTTAATTCAAGCTTTTGATATCAATTAATCTTAACTCTTAGCTTTTAAGTTTTTTCCCCACATCTTGTCCTAAACGCTTTGCATATTAGTGGCTTAAG